TCGAGTAGATGTGTAAACTGGAAAAGATATATCGTTTCCAATAATAATAATAATAATAATAATAATAATTGTCGTGAATTGCATTGGACAAACTACAGTACAATAAATTTCCAGAATAAAGTTTGTTTGCAACTCATGGAAGATGCACTGAACTTTCTATTATGAGAAAAAGCAGAATGCATTCCATACCTTTCACAGACAGGAAAAATGGGTGGTCTTTCACCGTAGAGCTTCCTTCTTCTTCTTTTTCCTTTCCTTTTCTTTTCTTTTCACTCTTTCTTTCTTTTTTTAACACAGAGGATCCGTGCAATGGAGCTGCGGTGGCTTCACCTCTGACACGAAAAGAAAGAAAGAAACACAATTCATCATTATCTGGGAACTGGACCAGCCGGCTTGCACCACCAAGCACAACGTGGCATCGTTTTGCGTCCCTTTTTGAAAGGGTCCCATTGTTGCAGTCGGTGAGACTCGTGCGCCTGGAACCGCATTCACATTTCTGGGTTCAAATGTTTGCATTTCTCAATCCCCCTCCGGTCACCTCATGGCCAGATGACAGCGCAACTGCTTCAACAAAACCATGAGGCCAGCAAGGGTCAGGCTTACAGGCAATTGTGACACAAGCCATAGTCCGTGGATGTGACAGTGTGACCCTCTGGCTGAGCATAGCAGGTAGATGATCCTTGCACCTGGGGAACATTTTATTTTACAAGGCATTTCCTTTTATTGTTGCTGCTGCTGTGCCTTTGAGTCATTTTTGACTTATGACAAACCTAAGGGCAATTCTATCATTTTCTTGCAGTGTGCCTGCAAGTCGTTTCCGACTTACGGAGACCCTAAGGCAAACTTGTCATAGGGTTTTCTTGGCAAGTTTGTTCAGAGAGGTTTAGTCATTGCTATCTTCTAAATCTGAGAGTGTGTGACTTGCCCAAGGTCATCCAGTGGATTTCCATGGCCGAGCCAGGATTTGAACCCTGGTCTCCAAGTGTCCTAGTCCAATGCCCAAACCATTGCACCACACTGGCCATCCAATCATTGCTATAAGATTATTTATTCATTCCTACTCCCTCTGACATTTCACAGATGCAAACCAAGACACCATGCCAGCCAAGCAACATCAGAATGCAGTTAAGATCGGCAAAGTTATTAATGAGGAAGAAAACACAAGTTAGCTGAAGCTGCAGCAGCTTGCTTTTGCCTGAGCCTACTGGGAAGGGCACGATTCTGGCCCCTCCCCTTCCCCACTGAGGGTGCATCCACACTATCGAAATCATGCAGTTTGACACCACTTTAATTGCCATGGCTCCATCCTACCGAATCCTGGGGTCTGTAGTTTTGAATTTGCAGCACCAATCTTTAGCAAAGAAGGCTAAAGGCCATGTGTGTCTGTGGGCTGTGTGCCTTCAAGTCATTTCCGACTTATGGTGACCCTACCTATCATGGAGTTTTCCTGGCAAGATTCGTCCAGAGGAGGTTCCCTGGAAGCTGAGAGTATGTGACTTGTCTAAGGTCACCCAATGGGTTTCACGGATGAGTTGGGAATCGAACCCTGGTCTCCAGTGTCATAGTCCAACAATCAAACCACTACACCCTCCTGCTCCTTATATGTTGTTGTGCCTTCAAGTCATTTCTGACTTATGGCTTATGATACCCATAACTATTTGGGTATTAAAGTGCTCAAGAGATTTTGGTCTCATGATCAAATTTTAGTTCTAACAAGCTCTGGAAGCAATAGGTGTGAATCCAATGGCTTGGATCTTGGCCTAAATCCAATGGCTTGTTCTAACAAGAGTTTGTCGTTATTATTTACCATCAAATCAGCTTTCATTTATATGGCAGCTCTATGAATGAAAGAGCTCCAAGAGCTCCAGTTATCCACATCACTGCTCAGGTCTTGCAAAGCTGTGGCTTCCACCTTTATTGAATCACTCTAACTGTGGAGCAGTCTCTTCTTATTGCTTTCCCCTTTTACCAGTCACTTTGTCTCATGATACGTCCAAAGTAGGATAGCCTGAGCGTAATCACTTTTAACTTCTAGAAAGAATTCAGGCTCAATTTGCTCCTGGATCCATTTATATGTCTTTTTTGTGTCCTTCTTCCTGGTCCAAAAAAACCCTTGGCTTTTTATTGAAGCCTTAACCACAACAACAGCAGCAACAAGAACATTTATTTATAATGCCCTTTCCACCAAAGGAGGGTACATCAGAAACATATACAACAAAAAAGCGAACGATAAAACACAACACTATAAAAACACTAGCCTTTATGAAAGTCTAGTGATTTTGCAATAGCAAATACATGGCTGGAAACTGTTTTAGTCTAACTGTCCCGTTGTTTAATATGCTTTTACGCTCTCCAGTTATTCCTCAGTGCTTTCAATTTTTAAATTGTTCCCGGTTGTTTTGCATTATTGAGTTATCTGTGTGTTGCCTGGAGATCCTGTGATATAGGGCAGGAAACAACTATTCTAATAAATCAATAATAAATCTGGCCTCGGGTTCTTCGCTTGGGTAAAAGGACAGTTTCAGAGCTTTGGTTGCTTTCTTGCTGATTTGGGAATGATGGGAATTACAATCCCCCAATTGCAATCCCGCAATTGAACGTTTCCAAACTTTGCTCCACAGATACGAGAAGCAAAGCCTGCAAAGTTAACAAATATGTCAGATAGAGAATAGAGACAAGAAAGAAAAACTAACCATAGCAACTGGTTGGGTGAAATTGGAATGAAGTTAATTTGGCTTACTTTAATAATAATAATAATAATAATAATAATAATAATAATAATAATAATAATAAATTTTATTTATAACCTGCCTCTCTGCTAGGCAATCGAGGCAGCATACACAGTTAAAACAGGACAACAGTTAAAACAATTCCACCACCACCCATCCTTAACCCACCCACCCCATAAAAATCGAATTAAAATAGTACAATAATTAAAATACAAATTAAATCAAGAATAATTTAAGACAGTATAAGTAATTTATACATTACTCTAGCTTTTGAAGCACTGGAGCATCTTCATCAGGCAAGGTAGGTATTGTTATGATTGTTGTTCTTGGTGATGATGATGATGATGATGATGATCTTCATCCTGCTTTCACAGTTTGCTAAGTTTCACTCAAGGGAGCTTTGGACAGTCAGTGTTTCAGAGTCTACCCTGGGATTTGTGATTTGGTGAGACACCAGAAATCCCTGGTAGACAAGGTTAACACTTCATCAAACTACAAATCCCAGGATTTTGCAGAATAGCATCATAGCAGTTAAAGTGGTGTCAAGCTGCTTAAATTCTGCAGTGTGGATACATCCCAGGATACAAGTGAGCAAATCATCCTCCTTATTTATCTTTTATATTTGCTTTAAGGTCGCCATAAGTCAGAAAGGACTTGAAGGCACACAACAACAACAACAACAACAACAACAACAACAACAACAACAACAACAGACATTTGTATTGTGCCTTTCCTCCTTCCAATGTATCCTCACCATGCTGGCTCGACAGGACAGAACCACAACAAGAGGGCATGTCCAGTTTCCCCGGACTTTGAGCTTTCCAGTCTTCCAGAAGCAAGCCTTTTTCTGGCTTGTTAAAAAAAAGTGAAATGTTTTACCTAGAAGAAGTAATTCCATTCATAAAAAGGTTGCAGTAGTTTGAAAATGCCACTTTTTCTTATGGGTTTGGAGGGGCATTTTGGCACTCTGTGTGGCCCCGAGTGCGTCCTGGGGCCAAAAACTGGCTCCCCCCATTGCTGACCTCTGTTCCAAGAGTAGACCTTACTGGGAAGAATGGGGCCAATAGGCAAAAACTGAGCAAAGGCCACAAGCAGAGAGAATTGAGCTAGTCGGAAACCCTACTGTGGGTCAGAACGCCATTGGAAATGTTACCTCCAGCTGGTCTCAGCAGGGCACTCTATTCTAGCAAAAATAAATCTAATGAGCAATTGGTTTTCAATCTATAAAATCCCTTCTCCTCCTCTCTGAGCTAAAGGGAGAGGCAATGAAATGCACGCTGGATAGCTTGCAAACCATCTTTTCAGTTGCGGTCATCTGTTCAGGGTTGCAGCGGCTAAGAAATGAAGTTAGCCTTTCATATTTATTGGCTTTTGCTTAGAAAAAGACCGCTGCATAATCCAAATGCAGGCTGAGCACAGTGAACGGATGCGGCAAAACTCCCAGTCTTCCTTAAATCCTCTCTGCATTCGCACGCCAACATTGATTCATATATAGAAGTTATGAGACTTGCTTTTCCTCTCCTGCAAATAAATTCATACGCATTTTCCATTAGGATTTTTCTGTAACACACAGCTGTATTTTCATACTTTTGTGCTGCACACAACTCTGAAGATACTTTTTGCCTGTGCCTTTTTCCCCAAGTGACCACACTTTTAGCCATCTTCACATTTTAATTTAAACGTTGATTTCATCCACACAAAATGAACCGTAAGTCTCAGAAACGTCATACTCTCCAACTGTCCTGAATTGGCAGGGATAGTCCAGATCAGTCCTCTGTCATCCCACTTTTTCAGCTACTTTTAAAATGTCCTAGTTTCTTTCTCCTCCTCCCGCTTTCTCTTTTTGTCCTCCGCTTACTTCAGTTACTGCAAACAGAGTCCAAAGTAGTTTGCCCTCCAATAACACAGCAGTGGGTGAAGAGTCACATTTCATTTTTCATTTGCAAGATAAGTTTGTCTACAAATGTGTGGAAATCATGGAGGAAACTCCATGAGACAAATGGAATAACATTACTAAATATGGTCTCTCTGCCATCCTTTGACAACACAGCCTTTGCCAATGTGAAACACAGGGTGGATCAATGCTTTGTTGTTGTTATTGTTGTAGTTGTTGTTGTTGTTGTATGCCTTCAACCTATTTCCGACTTATGGGAACCCTAAGGTGACCCTATCATGGGGTTTTCTTTGCAAGATTTGTTCAGAGGAGGTTTGTCATGGCCATCCCGAGGCTGAGAGAGTGTGACTTGCCTAAGGTCATCCAGTGGGTTTACATGCCCAAGCCAGGATTTGAACCCTGGTCTCCAGAGTCCTAGTCCAATGCTCAAACCACTATACCACACAGACTCTCCATGCAATGCCATTGTTGCATCTTTGGGAGTCGTGGCATATATAGTTTCAGGGGGTACTTCTAATTCTCATACCAGTGCAAATTTAGTAGAAAATCTGAGGTTCTTCACCAAACTACAAATCCCAGGATTCCATAGA